TGAGTTAGTTTCTTAATCCTGAGTTCTAATTTGATTGTACTGTGGTCTGAGAGACTGTTTGTTATGATTTCCATTCTTTTGCATTTCTGAGGAGTGATTTTACTTAACCAATTATGTGGTCAGTTTTAGAGTAGGTGTGATGTGGTGCTGAGAAGAATGTATATTCTGTGGATTTGGGGTAGAACGTTCTGTTGATATCTCTTAGGTCTGCTTGGTCCAGATCTAAGTTCAAGTCCTAGATATCCTTGTTAATTTTCTGTTTCATTGATCTGTCTAATATTGAGAGTGGAGTGTTAAAGTTTCCCACTATTATTGTGTGGGAGTCTAAGTCTCTTTGTAGGTCATTAAGAACTTGCTTTATATATCTGGGTGCTCCTGTATTGGGTGAGTATGTATTTAGGATCATCCACTCTTTTTGTTGCATTGATCTTTTTACCATTATATAATGCCCTTCTTTGTCTCTTTAGATCTTTGTTCGTTTAAAGTCCATTTTATCAGAGACTAGGATTGCAACTCCTGCTTTTTTTTTTGCTTTCCATTTGCTTGGTAAATCTTCCTCCATCCCTTTATTTTGAGCCTGTATGTGTCGTTGCACATGAGATGGGTTTCCTGAATACAGCACACCGATGGGTCTTGACTTTTTATCTGATTTGCCATTTTGTGTCTTTTGATTAGGGCATTTAGTCCATTTACATTTAAGATTAATATAGTCATGTGTGAATTTGATGCTGTCATTTTGATGCTAGCTGGTTGTTTTGCCCATTAGTTGATGCACTTTCTTCATTGTGTCGATACTGTTTACCATTTGGTATGTTTTGGAGGGTCTGGTACTGTTTGTTTCTTTCCATGTTTAGAACTTCTTTTAGGAGCTCTTCTAAGGCAGGCCTGATGGTGACGAAATCTCTCAGCAATTGCTGTCCATAAAGGATTTTATTTCTCCTTTGCTTATGAAGCTTAGTTTGGCTGGATATGAAATTCTAGGTTGAAAGTTCTTTTCTTTAAGGTTGTTGAATATTGGCCCCCCACTGTCTTCTGGCTTGTAGGGTTTCTGCTGAGAGATCCACTGTAAGTCTGATTGGCTTCCCTTTGTGGGTAACCTGCCCTTTCTCTGGCTGACCTTAGCATTTTTTTTCTTCATTTCAACCCTGTTGAATCTGATGATTATGTGCCTTGGGGTTGCTCTTCTTGAGGAGTATCTTTGTGGTGTTCTCTGTATTTCCTGGACTTGAATGTTGGCTTGCCTTGCAAGGTTGGGGAAGTTCTCCTGGATAATATCCTGAAGAGGGTTTTCCAGCTTGGATTCATTCTCTCCATCACATTCAGGTACACCGATCAAATGCAGATTAGGTCTTTTCACATAATCCGATATTTCTTGGAGGCTTTGTTCATTTCTTTTTCCTCTAAGCTTGCCTTCTCATTTTATTTCATTGAGTTGATTTTTGATCTCTGATATCCTTTCTTCTGCTTGGTTGATTTGGCTACTGAAACTTGTGCATACTTTGCCAAGTTCTCAAGCTGTGTTTTTCAGCTCCATCAAGTCATGTATGTTCTTTTCTAAGCTGTTTATTCTAGTTAGTCTAACTTCTTTTCAAGATTCTTAGTTTCTTTGCCTTGGGTTAGAACCTGTTCTTTTAGCTTAGAGAAGTTTGTTGTTACCCACTTTCTGAAGCCTGTTTCTGTCAATTTATCAGACTCATTCTCCATCCAGCTTTGTTCCCTTGCTGGTGAAGAGTTGTGATCCTTGGAGGAGGAGAGATGTTTTGGTTTTTGGTGATTTCATCCTTTTTTTTACTGGTTTCTTCCCATCTTCATGGATTTATCTACCTGTGGTCTTTTTAGTTGGTGACTTTTGGATGGGGTCTCTGAGTGGATATCTTTTTTGTTGCTTTTGAAGCTATTTCTTTCTGTTTCTAAGTTTTCCTTCTGTCAGGCCCCTCTGCCGCAGGACTGCTGGAGGTTCACTCCAGACCCTCCTTGCTTGGAGATCACCTGCGGGGGCTGCAGAACAGTAAGGGTTGCTAGGGTTGCTACTGGTTTCTTCTTCTGCTATCTTCGTTCCAGAAGGGTACCCACCAGATGCCAGCCTGAGCTCTCCTTTATGAGATGTCTCTTTGGATATACAGGGATCAGGGAGCTGCTTGAGGAGACAGTCTGTCCTTTATAGGAGCTCAAGTACTGTATTGGGAGCTCCGTTGTTCTGTTCAGGGCTGCTGGGTAGGTACCTTTAAGTCTGCTGCAGCGGAACTCATAACCGCCTCTTTTCCCAGGGGCTCTGTCCTGGGAAGGTGGGGCTTTATTTATAAGTTCCCGACATGCTGTTGCCTTTTTTCAGGGATGCTGTGCCCAGCAAGGAGGTAGTCTAGTCACAGTCTGCCAGCAGAGGTGTTGGTGAGCTGCTGCAGGCTCTTCCCTGCTGCTGTGTGAACTTCCTTGTGGTTTCGTTTACAGAGGTACAGTTACAACTGCCTTAGTAAGAGTGGTCTGCCTCAGTAATGGCGGACTGCCTCGGCAACGTTGGATGCCCTTCCCCCTACTGAGCTGGACCATCCTGGGTCCAGCTGTGCTTACTGCTAGACTTTCAATCCAGAGTGTTTCAGATTGCAGGTCTTTATGGGGATGGGACCTGCCAGGCCAGATCACCTGGCTCCCTGTTTTAGCCCCCCCTTTTTCAGTTGAATGGGCGACTCTGTCTTGCAGGCATTCTAGGCGCCAGTTGAAATGGCTGCCCAGATTTGTGTGAGTTTTTGTGCTGAAATGTGTGGCCCCAGCTGAAACAGCTGTGTTGGAAACTTGTGGTGCTTTTCGGCTGGGAATCTCCTGGTCTGTGGGCAGTAAAAACTTGTTTGGAAATGCAGTGATCACTCTCTGCTTTGTTGCCCTCCAGAGCTGTTCCTATTTGGCCATCTTGGATCCTCCCCTCCCAAAACATGTTTTTTAATGCAAATGTATTACCCCTTTAGCCCTTTTAATGTGGAACTACTTATATCTTCCTTAGTGCTTCCACTGTCTTCTTGGCTTAGCTATAGGGAGTCCTGTGAATTATCTTTGAATCCTTGCTTTGTATACAGTGAGCATGAATGAATCACAATGGAAGATTCTTAATTTTGATTCCATAATGTATATAAATAAATTAACCCAAATTAAAAGATCAATTGCAAATCCAGAAAAGTATTTTCAAACAGTGGGTCAGCTGGAGGATTAGTGTATGTGTATGTATACAAATTTTTTAACATGAAAATTTATACCACAAAATAAGGGAACCCTGTATCCAGGAACAAAAAAGTTACCTATGAAGAATTGCAATTGCTTAACAGATATATAGAAAAGTGCTTCCTAGTAGTCAAAGAAATGCAAATTAAAATTGCAGTAAGATAATATTTCTTATCTACCACATCCAAAATTTTTTTTAAAAACACTCTAGTATCTATCAAATGTTGGCAAAGAATAGAGCAGTTGAAATAGATACTCTCATGTATAGTTACTGGAAATACACATTGATACAAGTGTTTTTGGAGAGTTTGGTGTTCTGATCAGTTTGCAGTAAGTATTAAAATTGATGATAATATCTGATTTTGTAAGTACATTTCAGTGCTTAGGAAATCATTATAAACAAAGGAAAAATTCTTTGCAAAAAAGATTTTTATTGCCGTTTTGTATAATAACAAAATTTTGGAAATGACTTAAATATACCACCTTATCCAAAAAAGAATGATCTGGCCCAAAATGTTTGCTGCTGTCATTCAGAAACCCTGGACTAGGATCTTATCTTTCAAAAATAACTCATGTCATGGCATTCCTTCCTGTCTTATCTTCCAATCTCATTCAAAGTAAAAGCCCAAATTTGTATAATCTGTATGGTTCTCCAGTGCTTGGCATTCATCTTACTCATTCTTTCCCAGCCATCCCATCCTTGCTGTTCTTTCAACACCTCCCGTATTCCTCCACTCTGGGAGCTATGTCCTGCAGTCCTCTCTGCCTGGAATACACCCCTTGTGTGGTGCCCTCACCTTCTTAAAGTCTTTGCTTCTATTTCACCTGCTCAGTGAGGCTCCCTACTTAATGACATTTAGAGTTGCCACCTCCCTCTGCTCTCTTGGTTCTCCCAATCCACATTATGTCCTGCCCATCCTGCCCTCTTTTATTTTTTTTCTTTTTGGGGTGGGAGATAGAGTTTTACTTTGTCATCCAAGCTGGAGTGCAATGGCATGATCTCGGCTCACTGCAACCTCCACCTCCTGGTTTCAAGTGAGTCTCATGCCTCAGCCTTCTGAGTATTTGGGATTACAGGCATTCCACCATGTCTGGCTAATTTTTGTATTTTCAGTAGAGACAGGGTTTCACCCTGTTGGCCAGGCTGGTCTTGAACTCCTGACCTTAGGCGAGGAGTTCAAGACCAGCCTGGCCAACATGGTGTCTTAGCCTCCCTGGGATTACAGGTATGAGCCACTGTGCCTGGCCTTGCCTCTTGTAATGTTACCCTTCTGATGTTCTATATATAAAATATATATTGTATTTATTACTTGTTGTATTGACAGTCCTCTCTTCTACTCCTATAAAAATGTAAGCTACAAAAGGGAAGAGTTGGCTTTTTAAGTGTCTTAAGTACCTGAAACAAGGCTTGGCACAAAATAGACACTTCATATTTATGCACAAAATAGATACTCTTATTCATTATTGCATTAATGAATAACAATTTAGTTGTTGTCCCTAATAGAATTTTGAATTATTTAAGTGTTTCTACTCTTCTAAGATTTCCCACATTTCTGTGATACCGTCACAGACACTATTGTTATAATACAAAAAGTAAAGTAGATGTTATAAATTTTGTTGTGGTTAAAAATTTTGTCTTTTGTTAGTGAAGTGAAAACATATCCTGTTTTATCCATCTTTAAAATTTTCAAAGGTTTCTGAAGCAATATATAAAATGAATGTATTAGTTTTGTTAATATGTTTTAATATTTACAGTTAAAAGATTAAACTTTTTTTTTTAATTTTCAAAGGACTATGATTTAATCTCCAAAGAACCAAAACCTTTTGTATTTGAGGGAAAAGTACGTGGTCCTATTGTTGTTCCTACAGCAGGCGAGGAAACATCTGGGAATTCTGGCAGTTTAGGAAAAGTTGTAATGAAGGAGAACATACCTTCTAGAGGAGATGAAGGTGAAAAGAAGTCCACCTTTATGGATCTAGCAAAAGAAAATATTAAAGATGATAGAACATTACAACAGCAGCCAGGTGATCAAAATAGAACTATTTCATCAGTTCATGGTTTAAACAATGATATTGTGAAGGCCTTGGACCGAATTACATTGCAGAATATTCCTTCTCAAACAGCCCCGGGTTTTACTGCAGAAACGAAGAAGGACTGCAGTCTTCCTCTCACTGTCCTTACATGTGCTAAAGCATGTCCACACATGGCCGCTTGTGGAAATGTCCTGTTTGAGGGAAGAACAGTTCAGCTAGGGAAGCTTTGCTGCACTGGAGTTGAAACTGAAGATGAAGATACTGAGTCAAACTCATCAGTAGAACAAGCATCAGTTGAAGTACCTGATGGACCAACCCTCCATGACCCAGACCTCTATATTGAGATTGTGAAAAATACAAAGTCTGTCCCAGAATATTCAGAGGTGGCTTATCCTGATTATTTTGGTCACATTCCGCCTCCATTCAAAGAGCCTATTTTAGAAAGGCCGTATGGTGTACAAAGGTGAGTTACATATTTCTTCTCTCTTCTAAATAAGACTATTGTCAAGATATGAGGCAGACTTAAAAAGCATTACTTTGGGTATTTAGGAAGATAATTATTCTGAGTTATAAGTTACTGTATTTTTAAATTCTGCTTTGGAAATTTTGGATTTTTGAAATTGCCCTTGTTGGTTTACTTTATTTCTTGAACATTCCTTATTCAGAGGAAGCCAGAATGATAAATCTGACCATTGGATAGTTTAGAAATTTTCTATTAATACTGAATCTCAAAATGTAAAAACAGATTTAATAATCTTTGAATAAATATTACGTTAGCAATATTTGTTAACTTAGTAATTTGTTGTTTGAACTTGATTTAAGTATATGATTTTAAAATAGGCTATAAATCACAACAGGGCAACTATAGTCAACAGTAATTTATTGTGCTTTTATGAAATAACTAAAAGAGTATAACTGGATTGTTTGCAACACAAAGAAAGGATAAATGTTTGAAGTGAGGGGTACCCCTTTAACCCTGTTGTGATTATTATGCATTGTACACCTGTATCAAAATATCTCATGTACTCTATAAATATATATATATATACACACATACACATACACACACACACACACACACATGCATGCACACACACACACCCCTACTGTGTACTAACAAAAATTAAAAACTAAAAAAATAAAAATACATTATAAAGCAATGTGGACAGATTATCTTGTTGTAAAATTTGAAATTTTAATTGGAAAACATTTTAGTTAGAAATACATAAGAGAAAAATATGGGATTCATAAAAGCAGTAACTAGGTTATTAAATATTGCCCAGTAAGATTAGATATTACAAATAATATTAAATATTGCCAAGTAGTTAATATTTATCATATAAAAATACTTTTTTTTGGTATATCTGGACTGGTTTTGGTGAAGGTTTTATGATAATGGCTTATATCAGTATCTGAAAAAAAAATTGTATCCCTTGTTACAAGTATAGTATGTAATGAACAAGGAAGAACTTGCTGTGAGTATTTGATTCTCCTTAGACTATAAGTTCCTTTCAGAAAATAACTGTATCTTATTTATTTGTTTTTTACCTGTAGTGTCTATATAATTCATTATTTTTACTTAGTGTATATTTAGTGCCACTGGTTGGCCCCTTGATCCACAGGTGTGTCATCCCACACATCATAGCATCAGATTGGGGGACTTACTTCCCTGGGAAAGATGTGTGGGAGTGGGCCTGTGCCAGGGCATCTGCCATGTTACAGATGGCATCATCCAGAGGCAGCTGGCCTCATGGAGAGGGGTCTTCAAAAGCCCCAGGTGAAGCTGTAACTCAGGAAATCCTCTGCATGATTGGGTTGCCATATTGCAGCATGCAGTACATACACTAAATTAGAAATGTTTACATAGTTTGGTAGAAATACATAGGCCTGGGAACTAGGAGGTGGGAACAGAAGTGGCCCTATTTAGTGTAACATCCAGTATCTACCCAGGGACTTTCTGTTTTCTGTCCCTCCACCTCTGGGCTCTGCAGGGTTAGAAGTCCTCATTCCCTAAGTGGATGCAGTCTTACCATGGGACACAGCAAGGGTTCAATATAACAACAAGCCGTGGTTGCCAATGGGGTACTCTGGACTCCTTGTATCTAGGACCAGTACGTGAGGGGAAAGGCTTACCATCTTGACACAGGTGATTGACCCAGATCAGCTAATAGAGGTAGGGTTGTTTTTACACAATGGCAATCAGTTGACTGTGTGTGGAACACAGGCAATCCAATAATTGGCCTCTTGCTTACTCCCTTGCCCAATTTTAACTGTAAATGGCGATATCACAGCCACCCTGGAATGAGAATGATCCCCAGGGGCTGAACCACTCAGGAATGAGAGTTTGGATTCCTTAATCAGATAAGCTGTCAAGACCTGCAGATGTGATAGCTGAAGGTAAGGGGGGATTTAAATAGGTCTTGGGGCCTGGTTGTGGTGGTTCACCCCTCAATCCCAGCACTTTGGGAGGCCAAGGTGGGTAAATCACTTGAGGTCAGGAGTTTGAGACCAGATTGGCCAATATGTTGAAACCTTGTTTCTATTAAAAATACAAAAATTAGCTGGGTGTGGTGGCACATGCCTATAGTCCTAACGACTCAGGAAGCTGAGGGAGGAGCATTGCTTGAACCCAGGAGGCAGAGGCTGAAGTGAGCCGTGATCGTTCCACTGCATTCCACCCTGGGTGACAGAGCAAGACTGTCTCAAAAAATAAAAAAAAAAAAGAATGAATGAATAAACAAATAAATAGATTCTCATGCCTCAGCCTCCTGAGTTGCTGGGAGTACAGGCACATGCCACCACACCCAGCTAATTTTTATATTTTTAGTAGAAACTGGGTTTCACTATGTTGACCAGGCTGGTCTCAAACTCCTGACCTCACTCTCTTCTGTCTTCCAAAGTGGTGGGATTACAGGCGTGAGCCACTGTGCCCGGCCTCCCTTCTAGGGGCATAGGGCGGGGCAAAGATTTCCCTCAAGTGTCTTAGTTGTAGTCTAATATAAATGGGCAATTATGCCCCCCAAAATACCCTGGTTTTGCAAACAGGTTTGCAAACAGAGGCATATAGGTTGTTTTCAACTTGCACATGATTTGGCTTAACTTTCATAGTGGCTTTTTTTTTTTTTTTTTAAAACCAATTGCCAGCATTTAAAATTTGGGAGATTCCACATCTCCCAAAGAAGTCCAAATTTCTGGTGTTTCTTGAAGGTTGTCAGTAACTTTCATAGCTGTTTCATACTTGGTAGCAGTCAGCTTGTTTTTAGACAGAAGCTATAGTCCTCAGTTTTCCACAGTTCTGCCTATCAGCCTCACTCAGTTCTTGTACCCGCTGGCCCCTGTTGGGCCCATGTTCTTTGATACTGTTTTGCATTATGGAACATTGCTGTGGAACTGAGCTGTTAAAACCAGCCTTCTCATACCATTTTGCTAAAAAAACAAAAGCCAAGCCTTTGTGAATATTAACTTTTACATATTTGTGGGATATATCAACCTTATTAATTAAATAAATTATTCTGATAAAGAGATCTATTTAGTCATTCACCCATACTTGAACACTAAAATTTATGTGTGGTATTTTTGAGTATATAAAAGTGCCATATCCTTCACTATTGATGATCTGGTTGATGTAAATTCTGAATTTATTTATGTGTTACTATAACTGATAGCTTTTTAAAAAGCTTGTTTTTTTAGAATTGGTGTTTTAAAGTTATGATATTAAATTAAGAATGTCTAGCTTAATTTTTTGATACTAGATCTTTTCTTTCTGATAGACTACTGTGTCAGTAATGAGTTATTTTTTGTAGGATAAAATTAAAAGTAAATTGTACTTAACTGCTTAATTAGTAGATTAAAAGTTTTAGCGTTATACTTGCTTTTTTAGTCCTTTGTTTATATGTTTAACTATCATACCTTCTGATATTTTCCTGGTAATTTTTAAGTTTTCAATTAGGGTAGGTTCTTGGCTTATTTTGAATTTAAGCCAAGAATCTACCCTAATTGTTATTGTTAGATATATTTCTAAACTATATGAGAGTTAATATCCTTCAATCATGGAAAAGTGTCTTTGTGCAGGAGACTAATTTCAGATTTGCCTGAAGTTTAAGACTGTCAGTGTTTAAAGCATTCTTGAGATTTTTTTTTTATAAACTATTTTGGTACACTTTCTCACCCTGCTCTCAATAAATCTATAAGCCACAGTTCTAATCTGCATTACTTATCTTTAGCTGAAATGAACAAACTTGAAATTTAAATCAGTGCATATAATCACCTTCCTCTTTAAGAATAAGTTTTACATGAAAAGTAGCTATGTATTGACACTAGCAGGGCTTTGTGGCCAGTCTACCTGAAGTTCCAGACAATCTGGCTTTAGGAACCAAATCCACATTTTGGTGTCACCTGTTTTTTTTTTTCTTTCTTTTCTTTTTTTTTTTTAAAGTGCTGGAATTTCAGGTGTGAACCACCAAGCCCAGCTGGTGTCACCTGTTTTGACACAGTTTGGTGATTGTTGTCTTCCTTCGCTTAAATATTGATGGAGTCAATTGTGGGTTCTGTAAGGGTGACTTAGTCTTCTAGGACAGTGATAGGGTAGTTAGTGTTTATTTTGTTGGACTGATTCAGGGAGAGCTCAAGTCTAGAGAATTTTGCATACTCAGGGAATCATCCTTTGCTCCCTCAAATAGGTGTTTCCCTTCCCTCTACCTTTCTTTTCCTACCGCAAAAGAGAGATTCTATAGAACATGCAGGCTGATTGCCAGTTGCATTTTAGCTAAATTCCAGTCAGTTGGTTTAAAAAAAAATTCTTATTCTTATATAATCTCTGGCTTTTCAGATCTTTATACCTTCTAGTAATGCTGCTATTAAGTATACAAAATTGTTTCCCTAAGGGTTAGACAATGAAACCATGTCATTTCTATGTAGAAAGGCATAATAGATATTCAAGGGTTTTTTTTTTTTTAATGATTGGACTTGTGGGTGTATTCTGTGTTGTTATTTTCTAGAAGTCAAATTCTGATACTGATTTTTGTCTTGTTACATACTGCTAATTTTTTGGTATGCAAAATATATTGAGGAATGATCATTTTAATTTTAAGAAATTTTTATACACTTTTTTCATTCAAAATTTATTTTGGAGAAAGTTGTACATTAGTGTATAATGATACATTTTCATTAAACCTTTATGATTTCAGGACAAAAATTGCTCAAGATATTGAAAGGCTAATACATCAGAGTGATATCATAGATCGTGTAGTATATGACTTAGATAACCCAAAGTAAGTCTTGATTTTTCTTTCTTTTTTTTCACAAAAAACTTGAATAGTAAGTCTTGATTTTAATAAACTTTTATCAGTTTTAAGTTTTTCTATAAAATTTTAGTGTTATTTCTAAAAGATAAAAATTCTGTGAAAAATGTTGGTAGTTTTAAAAATAATAAATAAAAAAATATAATTAATTTCTAACTAGTTTCTCCTTATTAGGTTTTCATCCTTTGGGATATAATGGTAAATCATGTTTACTCACTTCACTCTATTATGAGCTTTTGTTTCTTTTTTTTTTTTTTGGCCAATCAGTTTGAGCTTATATGGTTGCTCAGGTTAGCCTTGAACTCATGACCTCGCCTTCGCAACCACCACGACCTCTGGCCAGAGCCACTTTGGACCCCTTGTTTCTTTTTAGGTAGATTTTTAATGGGCTTAAGGTAAAGGTTACACAGTGATGTTTTGTTTTTAAAAAATTGAAATTCACTTAGGAGAGTGGATATTTCACGTAAAATGCTGGCTTGTCCTGCAATTCTGAGCCTTTATTTCATTAGGATAACAAATTGCCATCTTTTTAAAAGGAGCATCTGCTTGATCCTTCTCCGCAGTCCCCACCACTACCCTCATGTCTCTCACTGCTTATAATTGGCTTCAGTCATTTAGGTTGCCTGCTCAATCTTTGGAATGCATTTTTCATGCTAGTCATTTACTATTTAAGATTGTTCACTGATATCACATTTTAGTATTTAAATAGAAGTAAATAAATGAAAATTACGAATATTGAGTTTGACTATTATTTAGTTACCTGCCTTCTCATATGAGAAATTCAGTTAGCCCTCAGTGGCTTTCTTCTCTCCCTCATCATATTTTTTGAAAATTTCACATCTTACCAATCATATGTGGAGGGAAAAAAAAACCTTTTTTTTTTTTTTTTTTGGGAGACAGTCTCACTCACTCTGTTTGTTGCCCAGGCTTGAGTGCTGTGGTGCAATCTAAGCTCACTGCAACCTCTGCCTCTTGGGCTTAAGCAATTCCCCTCCTCAGCCTCCTGAGTAGCTGGGACTAGAGACATGCACCACCACACCTGGCTAATTTTTTGTATTTTTAGTAGAGATAGGGTTTCACCATGTTGGCCAGGCTGGTCTCAAACTCCTGACCTCAGGTGATATGCCTGCCTTGGCCTCCCAAAGTGCCGGGATTACAAGCATGAGTTCCTGCGCCTGGCTAAAACACTTTCTTTAAAGGGTTTTGTTAGATAAGAGTATAAGCTGCAGCAAAGCTAATGATTACATTTGAAATAATGTTGTTATAAAATAGAAGAAATATATTCCTTATTTATTTAATTATTTCAACATTTATAATTCTGTGTCAGATAAGACAGGCAGAAGTGATAGAAACAGAAACTCAGGAACCCTGAGTATGGCATACCAGTGCTATTGGACAGAATCATTGAGCATCTTAGGGTCATCGTCTTCTCTTATTAGAGAGTAGGCTCCAGAAGAGCAAAGTTTGCATTCAGTCAGGGAACCAAACAGACAAATGTCTCAAACAGTATCTGGTACCTAGTAGATACATGGTAAATGCTTATTTAATAATCAGTATGTAAAATGAGGATAACACATGTGTCTTTCTGATGCTAAATTAAATAAGATAATAGGTAATTTAGCTCTTCAAATTGAAAATAATATTTTCACTGGAGAACTACATGGTTTATGAGAATGATTGCTGCTCAGTACAGGTCATAGCAGTTTTAAAAATGTTATTTTCTATATAAAAATAAGTATTTTAGAAATGACATGCATTCAGTGAGGCAAGAGTTCTTATTATCTCCGTATAAACATAAGAGCAAGTCTCTAATTATGAGTTTTTGTCCAAAAATGTTATCCACATTTAATGCAGTGATTGTGCTTGTTTTGTTCCTTAGCTTAAAAATAATGAGGAAGGTGATATGGCAATAGTGATGTATTTTTAATTATAATTTTATTTACTTTTCGCTCATCTGTTTAAATGCAATGTATTTTAATATACTTACTTTAAAATTTTTATTTAGTTATGCCATTCCAGAAGAAGGAGATATTTTGAAATTTAACTCCAAATTTGAATCTGGGAATTTGCGTAAAGTAATTCAAATTAGAAAGTAAGTCACTTAAGATTTTCTCATTTTGTATGTGCACAGATATTTTCCTAATTTTCATTAGATTTCTTTCTGTTTTATTTTCAGAAATGAATATGATCTTATTCTGAATTCAGATATAAACAGCAATCATTACCATCAGTGGTTTTACTTTGAAGTGAGTGGAATGCGGCTAGGTGTTGCTTACAGGTTTAACATCATTAACTGTGAGAAGTCCAACAGTCAGTTTAATTATGGTAAGACAATTGAGATGGCATGCAGGCATCTTAACTGTAGAAAAGAAGTTTTTTAAAAAAATTATCAACTTTTAAAAAATATTTCAGTGTCTTGTTTTCTCTAGTTCTTAAAATTCAGGTTTTACGCAACATTTGAAATAGAGTTACAGAGTAACTCTATTTCAAATGTTGCAAGTCCTTTAAAGTGTAATGATTGATTTCATCCAGAGTGAATGCAACTAAAGGTTTACTAGTATACTCCGATGGTGACATCTGATTGTGTAATTTTTCTTCTTTAGCCTGTTATTGCGGTTTATTATGTTGATTCATTTTTGAATGTTGAATGAGACCATTTTTTTTTGAATAAACCCCACTTGGTCATTGTATACAAATTGCTAATATTTTGTTAAGAATTTTTTTATTTCTACTAATGAGGGATATTGGTCTATAGTTTTCTTTCTTTCTTTTTTTTTTTTTTGTTTTGGTACTGTGTCTGCTTTTGGTATCATGGTATTACTGACCTCATGAAATTAGTTGGGAAGTGTTCCTGCCTCTTATTTGCTGGAAGCGCTTGTGTAGAATTGGTATTAATTTGTAAACTTTGGTAGAATTCTGCAGTGAAACCATCTGAATCTGGAGATCGCTTTCTTGGTAATCTTTTACACTAGAAATATAACTTCGTTTTTCTTTTTGAGATGGAGTCTCACTCCATCGCTGAAGCAGGAGTGCGGTGGTGTGATCTCAGCTCACTGCAACCTCCACCTCTCAGTGTCAAGTGATTATCCTGCCTCAGCTCCCCTGAGTGGCTGGGACTACAGGTGCATGCCACCATGCCCAGCTAATTTTTGTATTTTTAGTAGAGATGGGGTTTTGCCATGTTGGCCAGGCTAGTCTCAGACTCCTGACCTCAAGCGATCTACCTGCTTTGGCCTCCCAAAGTGCTAGGATTACAGGTGTGAGCCAGTGCACCATTAGAAATGAAATTTCTTTAACAGTTTTAGGGCTATACAAATTATGTCTTCTGTCTTGAGTGAGTCGTGGTAGTTTGTGCTTTTTAGGAATCGGTCCATTTCTTCTAAGTTGTTAAATGTATGTGCAGGGTTGTTGGTAGTATTCTCTTACTATCTTTTTGATTTCTGCAGGGTCTGTAGTGATAGCCCCTAATTAATTCCTGCTCATGATGATTTCTTCCCTTTTTTTCTTTGTCAGTCTAACTTTAGAGGTTTATCAGCTTTATTGACTTTTTCATAGAACTAGTGTTTTGTTTCATTGGTTTTCTCTACTGTTTGTCTCATGAGACCATTAAAAAAAAAACTGAGTGTACCCACAAAACTTTTAAAAATATAGCCTCATTCAAGATTTTTCTGTTTAGTGCTTTAATATATACAAAACTAAGAATTATTTGTAAAACACCTGGTAGTCAAACATTATGGTAGTCAAAAATAATATACTTGTTTGAACTTAATATCAGCATTTTGAAATTGAAACATCAAGTTTCAAGTATTAATGTTATAATGGCAATCTTTTTGTGTAAAAGAAAAGAATTTTTTTTTCTGGCATACAAGAAAACTTATATTGGGGCTTGAGAAGAACTGTATGAATGACAAGTTACAAAATCTCCAAGGTCTCAATCATTTGTTGGAAAGGTTGAAAAGCTTTTAACAACTGAGACATGAGAGCTATATCATCCATTTCATTTAAATCTTCTAAGTTGTTAAAAGCATGAATATGATAATGGTCTTTAAGGGGACATTTCTGAAAATTAATGTTTTCAACCCTTAAAGGAGTTGTCCCCAATGGTTGTTATTTATGTGGAAAATAAGATATTGTGTTACTCTGGAATTACTTCACATGTATGAAAAAAAGCTTTAGTCAGATTCATTTATTTAATGCAATAATTGTAGGAAGACTAGGTAGCATAATACCTGGTTTAGTTATAAACACTTTTCTAAGATTTTCAAATGGCTTAAGTAATTAATTTTTAAATGTTTTATCCTTTTAAATGCGTATATTTTGACTAAAAGTTCAGCAGGTATATTGATTTATGCGAATTGTGATAGGAATATTCTTGATACAGTCTTTCACATTTTTTTGTGTGTGTGATTTTAAACTAATTATGGAATGTGATATTTCTCAGAAATATTTGTTAGCCTTAAGCTTTTAATTAACTTTAAAAATTACCTTAACTGAAACTCATTCTAAGTATTATCAAAATAAGTAAAGAAACCCAGTGATTTCCCTATTTAACTGGTAATGATGCTATATAATATTTTTAGAGGATAAAAGAACAGTTAAATATAGTTTTATTTATATGTTGGGTGCTCCTTATGAGTAAAATATAAAGACATATATATTCCTGATATGATAGTCAATATAATTTTCAGAAGTGCTACAAGTATATTGCATTTTTACTAACTATATTTATTCACTTAAAAATAGAACCCTTAACACTTTAATCTTTATTAAAAAATACAATGTTTTAAATTAAATATATATATATTTTGGAGCAGTGCTTCTCTGTTTATTAAAAATCCTATACCTTTATGTGATAGATAAAATAAATTTCTCTGGTGTCATTTGAAATTTTAAAGTGAATAAAATTCTTTAATTAAAACTAATTCAAAGCAGTGGGACAGATGGCTGCTTTATTTTTAAATTTCCTCTCCTTCTTCCCCCTTCTTCTTTGGATATTCTTGTATGTATATCACACTTTCCAAACTCACTATGTAGTGAATTTGGAAAACAGAAGGGTGTTAAGAAGAAAATAAAACCATTGACAATGCATCATCCAGAGATAATCACTTTAACATTTGTTGCTTCTTACCAGCCTTTTTTATAATGCAGTGTATAATTTCTGCATACATATAGTTATGCATTTATTTTTTAAAAATAAGACTCATAACCCATGCAATTTCATATTCTGTGTTTTAATCAAATTTTATGTTATCAACATTTTTTTTCTGGTTATTAAATATTCCTGTGAAAGAGTTTTAGGAGACATCCAATAGAAGTACTATAATTTATTTATCCAAACCTTTCTTTGTAAGACAGTTAAGTTGTTTCTAATTACTTTCTTTTTTAAATATTGCTGAGATAAATATTATTATACACAGATATTTATATTTATAATTCATAGAAGTACCAGTATGCCAGGTAAAATGCATGTTTTTTCTGATGACAAAATAGTACATATTTAATACAGGAAAGTAAGTAAATGAAAAACAGTTTAAAGAACAAACTTTAGAATGAGAGCATCCAAAAAAAAATTCTTTAACATTTTGTTATCTGTTCTTAAAGTTATTCACATTCACATGGTTTTAAAATTAAATTTTACTCTTTTATAGATCCGGGATTACAGTATGAAAGCTTATGTGTAACACTACATTTTTTTAAAACTATACAATAATTTGTAAAAAAAATTTCCTCATGTCCATTAAATATTATTCAGCAGCATTGTTAGTAATAGTCTGTTGAGTAAGGTACAATAAATGACTTGAATGATAACAGATTGAAGATTTAAGCCTTTCTCCAGATTTCACAATTATAAGCTGTCTTGCAGTAGATACTTTTAATTATTTGTTTTCATATATGTTTCTGATTATTGCCATGAATTCCTAGAAGTTGGATTTCTTAAAGAGGATGAACATATGTTGCTGAAGACTAGGGAAAATGGGTACTACAGTGCTGGTGGAAGTATTAAATTAGTTCAGCCTTTTTGAAGTGCATTTGATCGTATGTTTCCAGTGTTTATATTTAACAGCACCCATCCGGATTTATTTTAGTATTTTCTGTGAATTGGGATTTAACTTAATCCTATTCTGAGTGGTTAAGTAGCTACAACTAAATTCATTCTCCAAGAAGTTTTAAAATGTTGTTGATGAATTTATTGAATTGTTAGACATTTCACATTTACAACTGTGTACCTGATCCACTAATGAAAGAAAGGTACGAAATATCATTCAGAAGCCACTAAACATTGTTGCTCTGGTTGGGCTGTTACAGACAATGGTCAGGTTAGTAAAAACAGATTAGAACCTGATTGATAAAGCATCACCATAACTTGCTTATACTTCTTTACTTTTTGAATTTGAATTCAATTATTTTACCTCTTGGTCATGTGTCCCCTTTGGTTTGAAAATCACAGCTCTCATAATCTATGGTCCTGCATACACACTAGTATATGTTTGGGGTTTTTTTGTTGCTCTAGTACCACTGTGTTTCTAAATTATCTTGACTTTAAAACGTAATCTAATATCCCGTAATTTTCAAAAGCAACTTAAAGACTTTTCCTATTTTTTCTGAATAGTTTATTCAGATATGATTCACAGTAATTGTATCAAATACCAAAAATTTTTATTGGATTAAATTTGTAGAAGAGTTTGGGAGAGTCAGAACTTTTTATATCCAGTCTTACTACTAAAGAACGTGATGTTTTGTTTTGTTGATTCAAATTTTGTTATGCCTTCACCTTTTTAGTTTTCTTTTGTAAGTTTTGTATTTCTGTTTACCTTTGTTTCTGATGTGAAAGAGTACTTTTGTTTTTAAATAATTACTTTTAGGAAAGCTATTGATTTTTATATATTTACTTGAAAATTAACCTTCTTACTGAACTTTTTATTAGTTCTTATAGTTTCTGAGTTGGTACTTTGGATTTTCTTGATAGATACCTAGAATTTCTGTGATTCATAGCTATAGTGTAAATCTTTCATTGTTTTTGTATAGAATTTTGAGAATGTTTAAAATGAAAAGGATACATTGAACATCCTTGTATTTTATTTTAACTTTAATGGGAATGCTGCTAGTATTTACATTAAGCATATTGTTTTGAGATACATATTTTTTCTATTTCTAAAAAAGAAATAATGTCTATTGTTTCAAAAATCAGATTTTTAAATTTTTTTTGCATTTATCAATGAATGTAATGTGACCATATTATTCTATAACCTCTGGATGTGTTATATTATATTAATAATATTCCTGTTATTAAGCCACCCTTGGATTTTAGAATAAGTCAGCTTGGT